ACATTGCGGGTAAGGAGTGTCCTAAGGTAGAACGAGAACGTTTGTTTCTCTGCATTGCGGGTAAGGAGTGTCCCAAGGTAGTTACACATAGAACGCGCAGTTGATCATTCGTGTTAACGTACAAATCTTGCCAGGTAAAAAACATACATACACGACGTATGTTGAAATTGTGATTTAAAGTTAAATAGTTTATATGTCTTTTTACTGAAACGATCAGAGTACTAAAAAATAAACGTAAATCCGAAGCGTCAGAAACACGTGTAATGAACCACACTTGTGAACCGTTTATTTCTTAGTAATTTTGTTTGGGAATAAACAGATGCTCGTTTCTGTATCACGTGCTAGTTATTATTCAAATACGTAATAACCATCGAGATGTTGTTGCGTTTTTGCAGTTGGTTATCATAAAACAATACGGATATATCTATTTTAATGTTGACAAATACTACCATACACCCCAGGTAACGTAAAGTCGAGTTATTCAAATTTAGGTAATCACTTGCCTCTGACGTCATGTGGACTGAGTCTGCAGTGTTACTGACGCAGTCGACATATCCCGCACATTTGGAGCATGCAAATGATCTATTGTGTTGGTGAATGTATAATGACATTCCTGGCCGACGGAAGTATGGTATCACTACTGATGGATCAAATCTACCCTACACTCTGTTTACAATCGTGCGCATTGTATACGCTCTCTGATTTGATAATATTACAAAGATCGGTTAAATACAGTTAAACTACACGCTGCGTAACATACGAGCTAGAACTACAAAGTGTGTAGGACTGTCAACGTAACGTTAATAAAAACATGGCTTTTGAAATAGCATAAGCCACACCACTGGTCGGGACCGTTGGAAATGCCAATAACGACAGACTAGACAAACTAAATGTTCCTATTTATATCAATAGCGAATGCATAATTTTTTGGATGTATCATATTTGGAAAAATTATATCTCACAGAAGACGCTGGTTTGATGCAGTGAAGTTCAAAATATAATAAATATTTTCGGATTTCTATCTCTTTGATACTCGTACGATCAGCGGATGATTGGGGGTATGGTTTGTAATGTAGAATAATATATCAACTCATTTTAACCGTATTACATTTACTATAAACACGTATTTTTTGTTTCTCTGTTTAATAAGTTATTTTGAAATGATGTGAGACAATCAATCTCAACAGTGTGGGAAATGCTATCCCAAGCTTTTGGAGTGGGATTCAATTATTCCAGAACATTCGTGTACAACGTGACATACAATATATGAAGGTGGATGCCCCCAAAAGAAAATCCATATACACCGAACAAAATGAATAATTAATGTGTTAGCAGTCAAAGTAACATCTGGCGTTTGTGTAGTGTCTTGGGAGGCTATTCTTGTTGTTCATCCTACGCAGCATATCATATAATGCCTCTCAGAGGATTTACAATCAATTATAGAGTTTCAAGATTCAATAAGCTTTGAATCTATACCCGGATATAGCGGCGTCAAAAATTAGGCGTCTGTTACGTCCATGTGAAGAGACGTCATGAGTTGTAAGGAGTAGGAGGATGGTCGATGTTGTTGAGAGAAGGTATCATTCACAATATATTGCTGACAATATAGATATATAAGGTTAAAATGCTGACATTTTCATAATTCAGCTGAACTATTAAATGAAGGGAAATGAACGACTCGCCTTCACATTCATATTTTTGTCAGATATAATGAGTTTGCAGTTAAATATGACAATACTGTTACACAGATGTTATCTTAACATATCTATTAATGATTTATATCTCAGATCTCTAATAGAATTAATTTCAATATGACACTGGTTCATATATGGCGAATGCTACAAGTGGAGCAGGATGTGCCCACCTCTTTCTCTTTTCGAACTACCTGATATCACAACTTGTTTGTATACCCATGGGTACGCGTACCGTTCTGCAATGTATTGACTAGTTGTTTTGTTTGTCGCTATTTTGTGATTCCCTATGTGCTCTTTTTAATCATCTACGGCAGGTACGTTATTTCCACTCTTACTGCGGAATTGTAACTCACCGGAAACCACCTGTCAAAAATATTGAGATGACGGACATTACAAAAAGCATTTCAGGTACATTTTGGTGGCTATAAGCCAACATCTTAGCAATATATTTAATACTTTAAAGGTATATTTTAGTTAATAGTTTGTTATAATGACCAATAGCTGTCATCGCCGCAAAATTATTGATTGAAAACAATCGATATGATATGCCACGAACACAGCCTTTACCTCTTTGAGAAAGGGGTAATAAGAGTATTCTATGATATATGTAATATTGACTATTTTCATAACAAATACATGGCCATGATTGGTCACCATATGCCAACCATGGCGCCCTTTATAGACGAGAGACTTCATGTTCGTATAATATATAAAAACTGATTATTAGCAATATTCTAATTAGGTGAGACATCTACAAGCAAACGGCGCTTATTGATATATGTTTTGCTGATGT